CTTATAGGAAGAGTTATAGGGGAAAAAATAGCTAAGTTCATAGGGGTAAAAAATTTTGCTTCGGCTGCTTGGGGATATCCTAGAAATATGACTGTGATGGAGCTCGGACCCAATGTGTTTCAGTTTAACATCCCTAGTGATGATGATAAGGAAAGAATTATCGAGGGGGGTCCTTGGGTGATGGATAACCAAATGTTAGTTATGAACAGGTGGAAGGAAGGGATAGCAGCGGATTACCGTGCTTTTATGACTGCACCCCTTTGGGTGCAACTTTGGAATCTGCCAGTGCACTGGCTTTCTAAGGAGGTAGGAAAAAAGATAGGGGTAGTGTTTAAGGAAGTAAGAGAGGTGTTAATACCTCAGAATGGAGGGAAAGAGGGCAGGCATCTGAATATTTTAGCTTTAGTTGACTTGACAAAACCCCTGCTCAGAGGAACTGTGGTGAAAGTTGCAAGATCACTTAAGTGGGTAGCTTTTAAATAAGAAAGGTGCCCTGATTTCTGCTATAGTTGTGGGATAGTAGGCCATAGTGAGAGATCCTGCAAAGAGAAGAGAGTCTTAGGGGGAAACAAGGGGGAAAATCAGTATGGACCCTGGTTGAGAGCTGAAAACACTAGAAGCTCACCTCTGAAACATTCTACTAGGACTGAAGGGTCAAGTGACAAAAGATATTGGAGATTTCAAGAAGGCGAACTGGTTGAACAACAGCAAAATAGGAAGCAACTGAACCAAAGGCTTGTGGAATCTCTGTTGTCTACTGACAAAGAAAGAAACAGCACTCAGGAAGTGAAGGAAGATAGGGAGGTGTCAAGGACTGTTTAGGAAAAGGAAGCCTCACCAAATGTACTGGGACACACGGAAGCTATCCCTAGCTGTAGTGAGGACCTCATGAACCTAGAAAAGGAAAGACTTGCCCTCCCACTAGTGACACAAGTTGAGGAAGGGAATCAGACCCCTATTGCAGTGGAAGAAATGGAGGAGGAACAAGAGACAGAACGGCACAACCAAAACCAAGAATATGAGGTCAATGCGGAAACTACAGGAGTGCTAGTGATCCACCAAGAACCCCATAGGACTGAGAAGGTTCAGGAGGCTATTAACAAGCAGGCTAAGAGGACATTTAGAAGGTTAACGTCCCCAACCAGAAATAGAAGACCTTTGAGAGAAGTAAACGGCAATGAAGTTAGTCAGTTGCATGGTGGGAAAAGAGAGGTCTTGATCAGGGACGAAGAGATGGAGGAAGCTAATACTGAGTTAATTCAGAGGAAAAAGACCAAACCAATGGATGAAATCTATTCTGCTGAAGTTAAGGGAGAGGTGACGGGGTCATTCCTGAAAGGGACCTGTGACAGCCCCATCTCCCCTTAAGGCGAACCAGAGGGTTCGGCGGGCCGCCTGCCCGGCTCTCGCCGGGACTCAGTCGATCACTACGGTCCTCAATCAAATACAAGATAAAAATCTCAAATAGAACTCAAATGTTCCAACATTTACATAACAAAAGCGAAGCGTCCACGCTTCCACTGCGCCACTCTGATCCTTGATACCAACTATATACAGGAGGAAGTCCAAAACTAGACTATTACACATCCAATCAATTCTAAACGTTCAATACAATCCCAATATGAACGATTACACAAAAGGAAATCCAAATTCAATCCATACATGAGATAATCCACGAATAAGCACTACAAGCCCTTCCTTCGCCTTGAACCCTGTGGAGGGGAATAAAACATTTTGGGGTGAGCTAGAAGCTCAGCGAGTAACCCATAAAATCAGTTATCAAATCAGTTTCACAATCATTCATTTCAATAATGTCATGATTCAGTAATCAATGCACTTTCCTTGCTCTCGTGAGCCAGTGAAATCATGGTACTTAGACGTTCAACGCTCCAAACAATCATTTAACATTGAACATTTAACATTGATCAGTGAGAAAGAGCCCATTGGTGCTCTACAGGAACATTAAACGGTGGAGGAGACGTTGGGGTCCAGCACACGAATTTCAAGTACTCATTTGAGCCAAAACATGTCAAGAACTTATATGCCGGCACACAGGATATGCAATCAAAAAAACGATGCAAGAAACATTTCAAAGGTAACGTTGGAAACAGTTTAAGGTCACTCACCTCCACGGCTCACAATCCTCGTCCAATATAGACAATTTCATCATTCAAGTCCAAGCCTTTCACTGAAACTTAAGGTAACCATCGCTATTCAAAATCGGACAGCATTTCCCCTTAATTCCTTTATTTTCCAACCTACAAATATTCACCAAATCCGTAACAGTCAACTACACTTGCACATATAGTTCACAAGCAATAAAACATATCCATTTAGGCCACAAAATCCTTCAATCAAAGCCAATTAGCAACTTATAAGTCACCCTTGGAAAATCCCTAAATAAAACCCTAGCAACCGGAATTTCCGCATAACCCTGAAATTTTCCGCAAACGATTGCATTTAACGCACAAGAGCTTCATTTGACACCATCATAAGCTATCAATTCAAGACCAATCATGACTTTCATATAAAATCGGGAAAATCCCCAATAAATCAGAAATTCACCATAAATTCCTTAAACCCATGAAATACTCCACAATATAACACATTCAAACATCACAAACCCGAGATTAACCAATATTAGAACCACAAGGAACTTGTTTATTCAACTTACCTCAAATTCAAGAAAGCTATCCACTTAGAGCTTCCCATCCAAAAGCAATCCATCAAAAGCTTTAAACCACCCTAGTGAGTCCTTGTGTGAAATATTTTCCAAAACCACCGGTTAAAACTCAAGATTCAAAGAAGGAAATCAAAGAGAAGAAATGGAGTTTTTCCTTTCTTGTTTTCTCTCCAAGACAGCCGGCCAAGGAGGGTGAAAAATGAAGAGCAAAAGCAGCCAAAACAAGATATTTATCAAGAAAAACAGTTGGTCAAAAGTGACTGCCGAAGCTGCCACGTCAGAATCCGGCCGGAATCTGGCCGGATTTCCGGCAGGATTCTTGGCCGGATTCAAGGCAGTGGCCAATTCAATTTTTTTCCAAAACTGCAAGGCAATCCGGCCAGGTATCCGGCCAGAAACTGGCCGGATTTCCGACCGGATTCGGCCCCTGTCTTTTTTCAAAACTTTTCTTTTCTTTTCCAAGTTCAAACATTGCACTCCTCCGCTCGTCCAACAAAGATATATATACAAAATGGAAACCCTCCTTCATACGGGGCGTCACAGGACCCCACAAGGTTCCCTTGACAGTTCCCCATCTGAGGGAGGTGAATAACCTCTCCTCTCCAAATCTGATTTTTTTTTTGTGAGACCAAGAATAGGAAACAGGTGATAGACAGAGTTGCTAGAAGACTAAGGTGTGACTGCAATGTAACAGTTGAGGCAATGCATAAAGCAGGTGGCATGGCTTTGCTTTGGCCTCAGGAAACTAACATCTTGGAGGTGTATAAAACTGCCTTCACGATAGAAGCCAAGATAGAAGACCCTGCCTCTCAGGCTTTTTGGTGGTTCGTTGGAGTTTACGCTAGCTGTGACCCTAGGATCAGAAAGGAGCAATGGAGGGTACTAAGCAATAGGAAGTGTCCTTGGGGAACTAGATACATAATAGCTGGGGATTTTAATGATATCCTGTCCAATGATGAAAAGTGGGGAGGAGCAGTAAGGGATGAGAGAAGCTTCAAGGATTTTAGAGATTTCATATATCAGAATAGTTTGCTAGATATTGGTTTTGAAGGACATCCTTGGACGTGGAGCAACCATTGGGATAATGAAGGAGAGATTAGGCAAAAGCTGGACCGATGCCTGTGCAATACTGAATGGTTCCAAGATTTTGAAAGGGCTAGATGTCAACATATTGACACCTTTGCTTCTGATCATTACATGCTTTTGCTTGATACTGACCCTGGACAAGAAAGGAAAAAAAAGGTTCTATTTTGATAAGAGATGGCTCCAAAGGGAGGGAGTCCAACAGGTGATAGAGAAAGCTTGGAGTAAGGAAGAACAAGGTTCCAGAATGTTCAAAGTCACTAAAAAGATTAAAAATTGCAGAATTGAGCTTCTGAAATGGAGGAACACTTTCCAGGCTAACTCTAGGAATAAAATAACTGTTCTGAGAAAGGAACTCGAGAGAGTAAGGGACTCTAGCATTGAGAACAGGAAAGGCATTTTAGACGATATTAAGAACCAATTGAAAAAAGCTTACAAGGAGGAAGAAAAATTCTGGAGCCAAAAATCTAGGATCAACTGGCTCAGGGAGGGTGATAAGAATACTAGGTACTTCCACACCTATGTCAAGGGTAGGAGAGTGAGCAATAGAATTAGGACATTGCAGAGAGGAAATGGGTCGTGGACAGCAAATGAGGAGGAGAATGTGACTGAGATTTCAGATTTCTTTAAGGATTTGTTCAAAAGTGGGAGGAGGGGAGATATGTCAGAAATTCTAGATGGTATTCCTCACTCCATTACCCAGGAGATGAATGAAAAACTAACTAAAGCTGTGGAGGAGGGGGAAATTCATGAAACACTTTTTTCTATTAATCTTGAAAAAGCCCCAGGACAAGATGGGATGACCCCATTATTCTTCCAAAGGTTCTGGAGTACCATAAAGAGTGACATTATCCCAGCAATCAAAGCCTTCTTTAACTCAGGATTCATGCTTAAATCAGTAAACCATACTGTCATTTCCCTCATCCCCAAAATCTTGCACCCAACCAGCTTGAAAAACTATAGGCCTATCAGTTTTTGTAGTGTGCTTTACAAAATCATTTCAAAAATTCTAGCAAACCGTCTGAAATCTGTTCTGGACAAATGCATTAGCAAAACTCAATCTGCCTTCATTCCAGACAGACAGATTTTAGACAATGTGATTGTTGCACACGAATATATGCACTACCTCAAAAACAAAAGACAAGGCAATGATGGATACATGGCAATCAAGCTAGACATGGCAAAAGCTTACGATAGGGTAGAGTGGCATTTTCTATAAGCTATGATGGAAAAAATGGGTTTTTGCTCTACATGGATCAACTGGATCAATAGATGCTTGAAGACTGTAACTTATTCATTCAACTGCAATGGTGAAACCCAAGGATTCGTGACCCCAGAGAGAGGAATACGACAAGGGGACCATTTGTCTCCTTATTTATTTTTAATCTGTTCTAAAGGACTCTCCAGTTTGTTGAGGAAAGCTGAAGATAGTAAAGAGATCAAAGGGTTGAAAATCAGTAGGAATGGACCTGTCATTACTCATCTCTTCTTTGCAGATGATTCCCTCATCTTCTGCAAAGCTGACAAGCAACAGGCTGCTGAGATTATGAAAGTCCTTAAAATCTATGAAGAAGCATCAGGACAACTAGTCAACCTGGACAAATCTGCAGTCTTTTTCAGCAGAAACATGCAAAGTGAGCAAAGGGAAGAGGTGTGCCAAGCACTGGAAGGGATGACCGAGGCTAAGCAAGGAAAATACTTAGGCCTTCCAATGGTGATCTCAAGAACTAAAGATCAGATATTTGGCTTTGTAGGAGAAAACATCAAAAGAAGACTTCAAAACTGGAAAAACAAATTCCTTAGCTTAGCAGGGAAAGAGGTAATGCTGAAGGCAGTAGCAATGGCCATACCAACGTACGTCATGTCATGTTTTAAGCTGCCAAGAAAGCTTTGTAAAGATATTACTGCTATGATGGCCAACTTCTTGTGGGGAGAAACAAATGGCAGGAATAAAATGTACTGGACTTCTTGGGAAAAAATGACACGGAAAAGAAATGAGGGAGGACTTGGATTCAAGGACCTTGAAGCCTTCAATAAAGCACTGTTAGGAAAGCAGATATGAAGGATTCTTACAAATCCAAACCTTCTTATTAGTAAGGTGTTGAAAGCTAAATACTTCCCTAAGGAGTCTATTCTACATTGTAACCCCCCCCCCCCCCAAAATGCATCCAAGAAGTGTACTGGATAAGGGCCTGATCAGGAGAGTTGGGACTGGAAGGAGTACACGAATCTGGGACCATAAATGGATACCACGGACAGTCACAGGCATGCCCACTACAATTAGACCAAGTAATTGTGAACTGAAAAGGGTGGATGAGCTCATTTGCCACAACAGATGGAACAAGAACATCATCTTTAGAGTCTTCAATAGATATGATGCTGAGAAGATCCTAAGTATTCCCTCAAGTCTGTCAGGGAGGGAAGACAGCTATTTTTGGCAACCACAGGCTGGTGGGAGGTACACGGTCAGCTCAGGCTACAAAATCCAGATGGAGGATCACAGGAATGCAAGGAAGAATAGCTTAGATGAAGCTGGCTCAAGTTATGCAGATGAAAGCCAACAAGTGACACAGATGTAGAATACTATTTGGAGGCTCAACATCAGACAAAAAATCAAGTTCTTGTATACAAGGAGCCTTGCCAGTTAGAGAAGCAGTGAATAAAAGAACAGGAATGGGGGATCCTATTTGCAGAACCTGTGGAGAGGCACAGGAAACAATTGAACATTTATTGCTAACATGCCCACACACGATGGAAATCTGGAAGGCAGCTCCTATTCAATGGGAGGGAGCTAAGGATCAGCAGGGAGATTTTAGAAAACTACACAGCATCTAGAGATTGGAAAAAAAATATACAGAAAATCATTCACGTCCACCGAGTCGTGGACTGTTTGGCTGGCTATTTTTTCATAAGTAGGCCTCACGAAAAATCACGTCCACCCAATGTGTTTGTCAGATATGAAGATTTTGGAAGAATGTGACTGACGAGACGTAACGAGCCATTTTCTAGAAACTCATAGCCCAAATTAAGCCTTACTGGGAATAGAAGACTAGTTGACAAAACTGACTATTAAAAACCTTACAGCATTTACAGATTAAAAACCAACAAAAAAAAAAAAAAAGAGTAAAAGCATTGTGAAGAATTTGCAAGAACAGGGCACTAAACACAAATTTCAAATCTGTTATTGTTCCTACCCAAACACTTAGCTTTCATGATCTGAGGAAGACAGCCGAATTGTTCACCAGATAACAGTAGTACAAAAAAAAAAATTTCAGCTCTCGGATTTTCTCCATCCTGCTCGAGTTAAATTCGAAGGCATCAAAGCTTACTTACAGGACAATTGAATAGAAATGGCAAACAAGAAACAAATGTTTGGACTTGAAATGAAATTTCCAATATGACGGACCACACAGGACGAAATCTTCGCGGACAGCCTCAGCATGCGCAAAATTTGGCAATAACAAAATCAACATTTATGTGGTTCATTAGCCTAAAATCTCAGGTTCTTGACTCTTAAGCAAGATCAGAAGATTCTTCAGGCGATCTCAAGTACCATTGCTGAAGACGGTTTTTAGCTTTAATAACCTGTAAAGCAAAACATCATGCATCAAATAATGAACTAAAACCCTTTGTTTTCAGTTTTATTCCCTAATATCTTAACACATCAGGTTGTTCATTTTTTGTGCTGCTTCCAACTCGCACACCAATATGATGATATTCATGCATTTCATTCGTTCTGTTTTTGTGCTTAAAGCATGTTCCTAGCTAACCTACATTAACATGACCTGCTAAACACAACAGAACAAATGTTTCAAAAGATGTGAGCTGAACATGATGATCAAACGTGTTATATGTAGAACTCAAATGCCGAGCACAAAGCCGTAAAAAGAGTACTATGTGGAGATTGCTACTAAACATCAGAAGAAAAGCAGAATTTGCCCCATTTTTTAAAGTGATTTTCCTTCAGAGGTTTACCTCTACATCCCAATCTGTCCTCCATGTCATGAAGCAAAGTGCAATAGTCTGAGTAATCACCCCACAAAGCATACCAATCCATATGCCCTATCAAACCAAGATGAAGTTTAGAACAGAATCAAGTTATGCTGCTGTTACATCAACTGATACAGTTTTTGATGAATCAAGAATTACAACATAGTGGTCAATAGTATTTCAAGCTATGAGAAATGTCTCAATCAAGAAAGCATCATTTACCTTAACTTGAAGATGAGCAACATATCCAAGCAAAGCTCCAATTGGAATTCCAATTAGGTAGAAGCAACAAAGATTGATAATTGCAACTGTGCTCTGTAGACCTGCTCCTACTGCCACCCCTGAAAGCAAAATCTAAATGTTAGGATGAAAGTTTGAAGATATTGCTAAAGACGCATCACACGCATATTTTGGGTATTTTCAAAGTATAAGATAATTGTTCAAAACTTCATAAATTGCCAAAATATCAGATGGTACATTATCTTTGTTGTTCAATCAGGACAAGAATAGAAACAACATCATGACTTACCTGACAGAACTGGGTAGATACTATTGAGCAACACTGAGAAAGCTAATAGAAGAGAAAGGTCAGATACACTTTCTGCAACTTCCTTCTCGTCCGAAAATAAGTATCCAATTTTACTACCAAAGACCAAGCAAAGCACCCAAAAAAATAGTCCTATAACAATTGAAGTGCTCAGAAGGACTTTAATGGAAAACTTTGCAGCTTTAGCATCTCCTCTCCCTAATTCATTAGCAATCCGAACACTGCACAAAGAAGCAAGAGAAGCCAGGTCAAAAAGACAAATAGTGCTTCATTGGAGGAAGGGGTGGCAATGATTGAACTCATTCTTAACATACCAAGCAGCACCAAGGAAACCAAGGCTTATCATGAACTCCCATCCATTGATATTGAGGCTGTTAAAAATCATTGTCATCAATAAAAACCTTAATTGAGTAGGAGAATACTGAATAACTGAGTCAATCATCCTTACCAAATGGAGAAGGCAGATATTGCAACCTCAGCATTTTTCATGTATCCGGCCAGTAATACAAGGACAGCATTGTACCACAACTCTAAGCTATAAACCAAACAACAGAATTAGAAACAGATGTCAAGTTCAACCTGCAGCAAGTAATTATAGAAAATTCTAAATAAAAAATATAAATCTTTTATTATGTCTTGCTATTTTGGACTGTTTGAGGGACAAAGTCTCCCATTGGTTTCCAAAAAATTTTGAAACAAGTTATAAGCATCTTGAGCCACTTCAGCAATTGTCTATTCAATTTGAGTTGGGATCCCGTGATCTTCCATTTTGGTAACTTGTCTCAAAAGTGGTTTCCACACAGGACTCTGCTACGAAAGATCAGAAGGTTCCAGGAATTTGTTTATTCATACCTCAAGTTCTTTCCTCTTATGGCTTTGTTAACTTGCACCTCAATGAGCTGCAATAACCTCTTTGAATTTCATTCAGTTTCATGTGTCCTTATCAATCTTAAGTTTCATGTGAGAGAGGTTCAATGACAAGTCTGACATTGGTTTTTCTAAGGATTTCCAAACAAGTAAATAAAGATCTTGGGCACTCCACTCACTGCTAATTGCTATTGAGTTGGCTGTCCAAATGTGTTCATAGGATACCTAGGGAATGCATGAGATGTGAACAGAAGTTCCTCTTTCATTACCTATATGACAAAAAATATTGGAGACTAGAAAAAAATCCATGATCAAATAGTATGGGCCAGGCATGAATTTCAATGTAGTTCTCTTCCAAATCAAATTAATTTTAATCTAAGTACACAGTTCTACGGTGAGAATGTATACTAGCAGAGATAATTTGAAGAACTAAAGAAGTTTCAGCACACCTACATGGAGCATCTGATTAAATATTCAATTGACATTTGGTTTACTAGAGCAAATATAAATACTACATAAAAGTATGTGTTTACATTTGGTTTAGCATGGTGAGTACTTGTTACTCGAGCGATATCATTGAGCTGCACTTGAATTTAATTCAGGACCTTTTCACACGCCTTGTAAATTAACCACATTACCGCTTCACATTTCACATTATTTGTCACATCCTAGGCCTATGAAATGTACTAGTGCTTTAACAAGACTTTGGTCCTAACTTATGAAAGATATACTCCGTTCGTCTCATTCAATGTCGCATGCATTTTATTTTTGTCCATTTCAAAATACTTGTCATAATTTTAAAAGTCAAAGGAAAAGCCACTGTTTTCAATCTCGTTTCCATACAAATTCCAAGGTAAGAACAGTCAGAAATATATATCCAAGTAAAATTTGGATGGAAGGTAGATCTGGAAACTTTATTTTGTCAGTTCAATGTGTCAAGGACAAAAATTCAATTCTCTTTAACTGTATGCAGCTCTGATCATGACACCTAAAGTAGATGTGAGGAATACTTATGATTGTAGCAAGCTAATTAATTCACATGATTACAAGCAATTTGGAAATATTTGAGTATCAGAATGAGGGACAAGTTTGGGGTCTGAAATCGTCTCTCATAGAAATACTTGTTTATAACATTTAAAAAAAAAAAAAAACTTAGCTATTTTGGGACCCCAAACTTTTATTTGTGTAGCAGTATGCTACTTAACACATTAATTTACAGAACACAAACATGGTTTTCTAATGCTTGACACAAAATTAGCCTGAAGAAAGTTAGGAAAAAAAAGGCAACTGCTTATTCTGATTATGCTAGATGAGGGCAAATCAAAAAGTAACATCGTATCCTGATTGTGTTAAATGTACAGATAAAGTCGATTAATAATAACAGCGATTTCCAAACTCAGGTATCTTTTACTATAGTTCTTATTTTACTGCATCCTATTATATGACTATTTCTTATTCTCTCTGCATTACCGTGATAATATTTTCTTTAAAACAAATGGTTAATCCTTTAAAACAAATAATTAAAAAGAAAAGGATGAAAAAACTTACCAAACCATCACACCAGAAGCTATTGAGAGCTTCACTACGGGCCATATATCCTTAAATGCAGCTGTAGTAAATCCTTTCCATGAGTCAGGGCACCAACCACCAAAGATGTA